TGAATTATACCTCTATTTGAATTTGTCACTTCTGTCAGCCCTAGCTTTACCATTTTAATCTTGATTATCTCCACAACTTCTCAAGTAATTCTAGGGTGTGAACTATTTCATTTGCTCCTTATGGTGTGTCATTTAACATCTCAAAAGATTAAAAAGTAAAAAAAAATCTTTGGAAGAGAAATCTATAAAAGTCTTTAATAATTTTTGTTTTGGTGAGGTATGCATAATAAATAACATTTCATATTTCATATAGATATGGTTCATGATATAAATTGGGGTATAGTTAGATCATGTAGATAGGTATTAGGATAAAAATATTATTTTAAAAGTGGTAAATGTAGTCTGTGATGATTTTTGATGCCATACATTGATCTCTTCACTACCAGTTCTAATTATTGGGATTCCATTATATGTCCACAGTCACTCAACAGACTCTACAAAATAGATACATAAACAGATGTAACATACATGTATTCACAATTTTTTCTTTGGAAATTTAAGTACCATTATTTTCTACCCCCGTTTTAAACAATTAAACATTATAAATACTTGTGATTCCTTAGATTTATTAATAATACGGAAAAAGATTTATATGTGCAATATAAATGTAAATACTAGCTATCAATAAAAGTGCTGGATGAAAATACACACTGTATTCAATATTTATATTTCTATGGTCCCTTTTGTAATACTACCATGATGATAGTCTGGGATATTGATGTGCACAGTAGACATTAAATCTTTTTATTGATGAAATCCACATTCAGTTCTGACTGAAATACATGTAATTTTAAATATTAATATTTAACTCTCAAAGAGTTATCAAGAACAGTCAGAAATGTATATATTTTGTAGTATGCCATATAAGATGATATTGTAAATGTTGGATATTAAGGACTGATGATACAAACTTTAATCATAGAATATGACAATAACAACTTGGGTCATGTTTAAATGAGTAAAATTAATAACTTTCACCACATACTTCTTAATTCAAATTTGCACAAAAATGGAATTTGAAGTAAAAAAAATATTTCCATAGATTAATAAGGATGGTTTCAGAAGAGCAGACTTTTGAACATCACAGAGGGTTTATAATTTCTTTTTATTCTAGAAATTTATTGTTTGGGTCATTTGCAATTAAATTATGCCAAAAAATATATACCATTCCAGGCATCCATTTTTTTGTTTCATCTGTCCTTAATCAGAGAGATCTGTAAGCATTGCAATCTTCTAAAAAAACTCTACAATAGTGAATGCTTGTGCTTTAAATTCATGTAGAAAATTATTTTTAATTATTTACTCTATGGAATTTCTAATCACACTACAGCTTGCTGTCAACAAAGTTTGTTTTTTAAAATAAACTACAAAAATTGTTGTCTGTGATATGTTGTTTAAAGTTTTATTTACTGTAGTATAAGTATTATACATTATACAGAGTTTGGTATTTCAGTTCTTTTTTCCCATCACACTTTGTAATTTTCACTCATACATCAAGGGCATTTAAATATCCCACAAACATCAAGGGCATTCACAAATAAAATTTTGAAAAATAAGCAAGACTTTTCCTGCACGAATATATTTCAATTTCAATTAATGAAACGTTTGGTAATAAAGTAGCAAGGGATATACATTTTACTGTAATTTTTACTTTTTTACTTTTTTGGTTTTTTTCATAAAATTATCACACAGCCTTTTTGCCATATATTTGTGTAAAAATCACAATATATATTACGAAAACAGTATCAATAAACTATGTCTCACTTTTCTGATAGGTGTCAATAAGCTATATATTACTTGGTGCTTATGTAATAAAATATCTTTATAGAGATGCATTTTTTTGAAAGATTGACAGAAAATTCTTCAACATAGATGTATGTAGTTTCAGTAATATCAACTCTACAGAAGACTTCTATATTGCATTAGCTTGTTTATTTCATTAACTTTATTAACTCATTTCCAATGGAATAAAAATTGTTAGCCAAATAGATAACTAAAAGAAAATTATTACAAAATTAGAAGTGTAGCTTAATTATGTATTTAAGCTTTACAATAATTTATATTTTATTTACAAGATTGAATGTTCATCACATTCATTTACACATTGAATATATGTAATTTGTTCTATGTGTTAAATTTACCAGTGTAGTAAATCTTTGTTAGTGCATTTATTTTGCGATAAAGATATCTTAAAAGTATTATATATAGCAAGATTTGTTAATTGTTAATTCTCTTTATTTAATTCAGAGGTGAAAGTGTTCAAGCAATGATTATTATAAGAAGTTAACACAGTTGATACATGCATATGTTAAAGATAAATGACCCAAACTCGATCAACTAACAAACATTTGTCAGTAGTGTTAAAAGTAAAATATATATTGCACTCAACTTACATGTATTAATGAAAGTTAACAAAGATAACATATTTTATTTTTTCCCATTTGAAATAATTTGAGGAAATGTGTAAGTATGCGTCAATGTCTTCCTTTATCCTGAATATATAGTACATCATGTGTTTCTCTTCTTGGAATCTTCATTTTCAAACATCACATGAGCACCTCTTAAAAAAGAAACAATTAAATCGATTTACATGAATTAAGAGTATTAGTTTATTTATCTTGCAATATAACATTTACAATTACATTAATATGTTCATTAAAGTAAATTTGTACAAGAAATATACATGACAATTTGCATGAATATTACAAAAGATATTGTTCGAGACCATTTTTTATCATCCAGAATTTGCAGAACTATAAAAGATTTTGGCAGGAGAAAGGGATTAAATTTTAAATTAGGGAATAAATATCTTCTAATTTGGAATTTGCGACCGTTAATGCTGATTTAACGGTCGCAAACAAGTTTTACCGGCGACGCGTTACAAGCGCAAATACCAAATTAGAAGATTAGTTATTCCCATTCTAATGCAATCCATGCATTTTTTTTGTTTAAGCCTTATTTTGATGAATTTTGTTTCAAGAAAATACGTCACGGAGCATTGTGATTTTGCGTCGCTCTATACTGAGGTCACAATGAAAAAGCTATCACGCTCGTTAATGCTCGTTTTACTGATTCAAATATCAGTGCATTAGCCCAACAAAAAAAACAATTGCATTAGAATATTAGATAAACTTCTTGATTTGAACTGAGCTCAGTCAGGGACCACTCAACTGGCTAGGGACGTATTACAGGTAACTAGGGATGTATTACAGGTAACTAAGGACGTATGTCAGGGACCGCTCTACTGGTTAGGGACGTATTACAGGTAAATAGGGACGTATTACAGGTAAAAAGGGATGTATTACAGGTAAATAGAAGCTCAGGGACCACTCAACTGGTTAGGGACGTATTACAGGTAAGTATGGACGTATTAAAGGTAAGTAGGGATGTATCACAGGTAACTAGGGACGTATTACAGGTAAATAAGAGCTCAGTCAGGGACCACTCAACTGGTTAGGGACGTATTACAGGTAAGTAGGGACGTATGTCAGGGACTACTCAACTGGTTAGGGACGTATTACAGGTAAATAGTACCTCAGTAAGGGACCACTCAACTGGTTAGGGTCATGTATTACAGATAAGTAGGGACGTATAAAAGGTAAATAGGGACGTATTACAGGTAAATAGTACCTCAGTAAGGGACCACTCAACTGGTTAGGGTCACGTATTACAGGTAAGTAGGTATGCATTACAGGTAACTAGGGACGTATTACAAGTAAGTAGGGATGTATTACAGGTTAATTGGGACGTATCACAGGCAACTCGGGACGTATTACTGTAATACAGGTAAGTAGGGATGTATTACAGGTAAATAGTACTTCAGTCAGGGACCACTCAACTGGTTAGGGACGTATTACAGGTAACTAGGGACATATTACAGGTAAAAAGGAGCTCAGTCAGGGATCACTCAACTGGTTAGGGTCATGTATTACAGATAAGTAGGGACGTATTACAGGTAAATAGGGATGTATTACAGGTAAATAGTACCTCTGTCAGGCCAAGCTTAAAAAATTCTTTGGTTGCAGTTGCCGACCTATAACTTTTAGACTGAGTCGGTAGGTAGGTATTCTTTTTTTAAATAAAAAAAATTCAGATTTTTCTTAGATAACAATTAAAAGAGGTTTTCATACACTTACTAGACATGAATAAGCTCACCTCTTGTTATAAACTACGGAATGATTAAAACAGAGTCAAAATTAGAAAACGAAATTGTTTCAATATTCTAAAAAATTGAAAAAAAAATCAAATTTCCAAATGGCTACAAAAAGTTTGGGTCGGTTGCATTTTCAATGGGACGGTCGGCAACTGCAAACAAACTTAATTTCATTTTAGGCCTCAGGGACCACTCAACTGGTTAGGGACGTATTACAGGTAAGTAAGAACGTATTACAGGTAAATAGGGACGTATCACAGGTAACTAGGGACGTATTACAGGTAAATAGGAGCTCAGTCAGGGACCACTCAACTGGATAGGGTCACGTATAACAGGTGAGTAGGGACGTATTACAGGTAAGTAGGGATGTATTACAGGTAAATAGTACCTCAGTAAGGGACCACTCAACTGGTTAGGGATGTATTACAGGTACGTAGGGACGTATTACAGGTAAATAGGGACGTATTACAGGTAACTAGGGACGTATTACAGGTAAATAGGAGCTCAGTCAGGGACTACTCAACTGGATAGGGTCAGTATTACAGGTAAGTAGGGATGTATTACAGGTAAGTACGGACGTTTTACAGGTAAATAGTACCTAAGTAAGGGACCACTCAACTGGTTAGGGACGTATTACAGGTAAGTAGGGACGTATTACAGGTAAGTAGGGACGTATGTCAGGGACCACTCAACTGGTTAGGGACGTATTACAGGTAAATAGTACCTCAGTAAGGGACCACTCAACTGGTTAGGGACGTATTACAGATCAGTAGGGACGTATTCAGGTAACTAGGGACGTATTACAGGTAAGTAGGGATGTATTACAGGTAAATAGTACCTCAGTCAGGGACCACTTAACTGGTAAGGGATGTATTACAGGTAAGTAGGGACGTATTACAGGTAAATAGGTACGTATCACAGGTAAGTAGGGATGTATTACAGGTAAATAGGAGCTCAGTCAGGGACCACTCAACTGGTTAGGGACGTATTACAGGTAAATAGGAGTTAGTCAGGGTCCACTCAACTGGCTAGGGACGTATTACAGGTAAATAGGAGCTCAGTCAGGGACTACTCAACTGGCTAGGGTCGTATTACAGGTAAATAGGAGCTCAGTCAGGGACCACTCAACTGGCTAGGGATGTATTACAGGTAAATAGGAGCTCAGACAGGGACCACTCAACTGGTTAGGGACGTATTACAGGTAAATAGGAGCTCAGACAGGGACCACTCAACTGGTTAGGGACGTATTACAGGTAAATAGGAGTTAGTCAGGGTCCACTCAACTGGCTAGGGACGTATTACAGGTAAATAGGAGCTCAGTCAGGGACTACTCAACTGGCTAGGGACGTATTACAGGTAAATAGGAGCTCAGTCAGGGACCACTCAACTGGCTAGGGATGTATTACAGGTAAATAGGAGCTCATACAGGGACCACTCAACTGGTTAGGGACGTATTACAGGTAAATAGGAGCTCAGACAGGGACCACTCAACTGGTTAGGGACGTATTACAGGTAAATAGGAGCTCAGTCAGGGACCACTCAACTGGTTAGGGATGTATTACAGGTAAATAGGAGCTCAGACAGGGACCACTCAACTGGTTAGGGACGTATTACAGGTAAATAGGAGCTCAGTCAGGGACCACTCAACTGGTTAGGGATGTATTACAGGTAAATAGGAGCTCAGACAGGGACCACTCAACTGGTTAGGGACGTATTAAAGGTAAATAGGAGCTCAGTCAGGGACCACTCAACTTGTTAGGGACGTATTACAGGTAAGTAGGAGCTCAGTCAGGGACCACTCAACTGGTTAGGGACGTATTAACAGGTAAATAGGAGCTCAACCAGGGACCACTCAACTGGCTAGGGACGTATTACAGGTAAATAGGAGTTAGTCAGGGACCACTCAACTGGCTAGGGACGTATTAACAGGTAAATAGGAGCTCAGTCAGGGACCACTCAACTGGCTAGGGACGTATTATAGGTAAATAAGAGTTAGTCAGGGACCACTCAACTGGCTAGGGACGTATTACAGGTAAATAGGAGCTCAGTCAGGGACCACTCAACTGGCTAGGGATGTATTACAGGTAAGTAGGAGCTCAGTCAGGGGCCACTCAACTGGCTAGGGTCGTATTACCGGTAAATAGGAGTTAGTCAGGGACCACTCAACTGGCTAGGGACGTATTACAGGTAAATAGGAGCTCAGTCAGGGACCACTCAACTGGCTAGGGACGTATTACAGGTAAATAGGAGCTCAGTCAGGGACTACTCAATTAGCTAGGGACGTATTACAGGTAAATAGGAGCTCAGTCAGGGACTACTCAACTGGTTAGGGACGTATTACAGGTAAATAGGAGCTCAGACAGGGACCACTCAACTGGCTAGGGACGTATTACAGGTAAATAGGAGCTCAGTCAGGGACCACTCAACTGGCTAGGGACGTATTACAGGTAAATAGGAGCTCAGTCAGGGACCACTCAACTGGCTAGGGACGTATTACAGGTAAATAGGAGCTCAGTCAGGGACCACTCAACTGGTTAGGGACGTATTAACAGGTAAATAGGAGCTCAGTCAGGGACCACTCAACTGGCTAGGGTCGTATTACCGGTAAATAGGAGTTAGTCAGGGACCACTCAACTGGCTAGGGATGTATTACAGGTAAATAGGAGCTCAGTCAGGGACCACTCAACTGGCTAGGGACGTATTTCAGGTAAATGGGAGCTCAGTCAGGGACCACTCAACTGGCTAGGGACGTATTACAGGTAAATACATGTACTGTAAAATCACTAATTTTCTTGGGGTTTAATTTTTGTGGTTTTCATGGTATGAAGAGACCTACAAATTTATGTCCCCCATGAAATGTATTTTTTCACAGATTTTACTACTCAATGATTCTTCATCTACGAAATTAAATCTCATTTTTTTTCTTCAAACCAAGAAAATTTGACCCCTCGAAAATATGTGGTTTTACAGTAGGAGCTCAGTAACTTAATACTGTAGAATAACAAATTTTCGTGGGCATAAAATTTCGTTGTTTTGTCATGAAAAAAAGTTTTGTGGGCATATAATTTCGTTGTTTTGAAAGAAACCCTATTCAATATATATATAATCATATAAAATTTCGTGTGGGATTTAATTTCGTTGTATATTGTTAACAACGAAATAAACGAAATTTAATCCCCTACGAATATTTGTGCTTTTACAGTAGTACAGTCAAATCTCATTATCTGCAATTTATTAAGGTACTTATAAGCTCACTGCTCAGTGAACTTACCTTACTAGTATAAGAAACTATAGTCAGACGTTTGACTCATTTATCTGCGACGGCGTCAGTCCAAATATCTAGCCCAGCAGAATCTCAACAGAGTTTAGGAGATATATATACTCTGTGCTTTCATACTAGATTTAAAAGTAAAGACTGAAGCAATAATAATGAAAAACAGGAAAGATGAGTTAATTTTACAATAAAACAAGTTCTTAGTTTGGAGTGTTGCTAAAATGCAGAACGGAAAACAGAACGGAACAGAAAAACGAAAAATTTATGTCAAGCAAATAACCTTGGTACAATATAAATCAGATAATATGATTTATGATGTGACAGTTGGGGCGCAGTTATACTCAAAAACAGACTTGAAACATTGATCAGCTACTTAAACATCAAGTCACACTAAACATTCGACTAGCTGTGACGTCATATGACGTAATGGAGCTCATAGGGGCTTAGGAGACAGCTGAGCATCTATTTGAAACTTAGACCTTGTGCAATTTTTGACGAAAGTCTTTGTAGAGTATATTTTTGTTGCCTTTAAGATTTTTACAAGCAGAAGTTTTATTTAACATTGTATTTAATTATTTATTCGCCATAATCGCATGGAATCCTGGTAGCAAAGGAATTCTAGGAAGGTTTCACACAAAAATATGCCTGACGCATGTACAGATTTCATTCCGAATTTTCTTCATTACTACACGTTAGTCGATTGAGCTCACTTCATGATGGTCCTTTGCGAAGCTGGCATTGCTCGCTATAAAACCAATATTCTTGATATAAAAGCCACATCTAATAAAAATTTATCATAAACTATATTTTCATGAATCATGCACACCCTAAGAACTGGCAAGTATACATGCGATGGTCTATAAAATACATACTAACTAGACTCAAATCCTGATTATCCATATGAATTTTTTAACGTTTCTTAAAAATCATTTTTTAAAAAGAAAGTTCATTCATAGAAAAGATATTGTCTTGAAATAGGCAGAAGGATAACAAGACTAAAAGTATATGTAAAAACATTTATTTGTAAACACAAAAATAACTAGTTATGACATTCAGATTATGTAAGCAGTGGTGAATCCCGGTAGGGGGATGGCAGTTTGGAGTGGGGTAGGGGAACAAAGCTTCTCCAAAAATTGGATCAATTAAATTTTATGTACATATTTGGACACAAAAGGGGAGGGGCAGAAAAAGGAACTAAAATGTTTTACGAGTCATTCATCCCCCCCCCATCACACACATACATGAACCACATATTTAATTAACAAACCTTAAACTTCAGTGAATGTAAAGATGCTACATTAAATATACCACAGAAAAGTTTTACAACTTTATCTATCCAGAATTTTAATATATTAGAAGCCACTCTATTTCGTATAAAATTTTAAGAACCAGTGGTACATTATAGGTGTTTACCTGAGCATGCCAGAAAGGTTTTCTCTAATTGTAATCTTATTAAGAAGAATTTTTTTTATATTTTATTTCTCTAAGGCCTTACCATAGTAAATCTAAGATATAAAATATATTTGCCCCCCCCCACTTTTTTCCAGACAATACTTTTTATTATAGAAATGTTCATTGAACATTGGTCATGTTCATTGAACATTGGCCCCAATGGGTATTACAAAAAAGGGAAATCTGTTATAGAACAGAATGGCCAAAGTTACTGAGGTGAGCGATGTGGCCCATGGGCCTCTTGTTTTATCCCAGGGCCTTGGTGAAGAGAAAAACCACACAATGGCATATTTAAACAAAAATCATAGGAGATTCTTTTTATCAAATCTTTAACACAAACTTGTCAACATTTTAAACTGTTTTATGTATGAATTAATTCTCCTTATTTAATACTTCATCACATGTACACAAAAACCACTGTGATCTCACAACAGTGGGATATGAAATATTATTATACCTCATAATTTTTTAATATTTTTTGCGTTAGCGTAATGATGAAAAATAAAGTGGAGTCCTATATAAAAACAGCTATTGTAAAACATTGCCGATTGTGGTTTATGAAACAAGATGTAAAACATGGGATAAAAAGAATCTCACATGATTTGTAGTTGAATATGATTTTTATCCAACTAGTTGTGTGTTTATATTCCCTCGCCAAGGCTCGGGGATGTAAACCACACATCTCATTGGATAAAAATCATATTCAACTACATATCATGGGAGATCCTATATTTACTCAAACACTTCAGTAAATCATTGCATCGCAAACTTTATTTACAAATAACATTAAACTTTATTTACAAACAACTCTATTATATGTTCAAAGTGGGTTGTCATAGCAACAAAAAAAAATACCGATTTCTTTTGATAATTTAATAAACAATACCACAATTTCATATCATGCGAAAAATAAAATAAAAAAGAAATACAATGGTAATAATTAAAAGGGCGGGGGTCTTTCTTACTCCTCTCAGAGATTAGTTCTGAAGTGTTTAACTATGATAAATATTTCTATTGATTTGTGTGTATGAGTCCCATGATTTCTTGTATTCTCATTTCTGTAGCTGTTTGTATTCTGTGGAATGGTTCTTGTCTGAGAGATTGCTGGTATGAGTATAGAGCAGCCTGGAGGTTCACTGTCACCTGTTGACAG